ACACAAACATTCAGACACAGTTGTTTTGATATTTCAAAGGTGCGTTGTGTTTCCTCTTCCTCTTCTTGTGTCCTCTCCAAGATTTCTCCAACAAATCAAACCAAATTATTCATGCTGGATGCATGGACTTCCTCCCAGGCCTGTCAGTATTCTCTTTCTTGTGGTAATGACTGTGTTATCGGAGTGACATGTCGCTAACTGATGTTTCTGTTGTTCAGATTTAAGGAAGCGTCTGGACAGCAGCGAGAACAGCAGTGAGGCAGAGTCGACGTCGGGGGAAGAAGAAGAAGAAGAAGAAGAAGAAGAAGAAGAAGACGATGAAACCAGGATGTAGCCTTTGACCCAGGAAGTAGGGAAAACAAAACATGTGCACTTTCAGTAACACAGATGTTTTTATATGTTATTGCCGCGAAGTCCTGTGTTAGCTCTGATTCATTGGCTGCATAAAAAAGGAATATTTCATCACACAAAGTCTGTGACTGGACACTAGAGATTATTAGGATTATTGTAGTTTATTCTGAGGGTGCTAATATATTCTCCAAGTGTATTAGAAAATGGCTTTCAGGAGCACAGTGGTGTTGTAGGGTGTTCCTTTAAAATGGTTTTATGTCATTGTGCTCTATCTTATGAGTCATAATAGGAAATACACTAATAACAGAATATCTTTTCAAGATTTCACAAAAGTCAAAATTGTTTTTTTTTTTAATTATAAAGAATTAATAATAGCATTGCAATACATTTGCACAATATTTGCGATGAATATATTGAGATAAATTTCTCTGTTTTACTAAAATAAAAAAATGGTGCATCTAATGATATGTATATGTGTGTCAAAAAAAAACGAGGCAGAAATGCACCCATAAAATTTATTTTATTTTTTTTCTTCCCACAACAAAATGTCTACAAAAGCGATAAAATATAGAATTTAACAAAAATCACTTCAGACCTTCACATTGTATATACATCTCAAAGGAGGACTCACTAAGGCCCCTGCATAGCTCTGAACTTCAACCCCGTCTGATCCATCAATTATGGGTGTTTGTGGCTCTCTTTATTGCAAATGCATGCATGCAGGCGCGCACACACACACACACATACACACACACACACACTCACACACTCCTTCATTCTCATGTTAAAATGAAAACTCCGCAGTAGAGCTCATGGATTTATGGTAGAGTCAGAGTTCAGAGTCCAGCAGAGTCCCCACCAAATGAAAAAAAAAAAAAAGCATAAAATGTAAAAACGGTTTGTCAGTGTAATCAAATACACATTTTCCTTGGAGTTCCCCTTTTTTGATTGGTTTCTCAAGTAAACTCACACAGTAAAGCATCTACGCCCCACTCTGCCAATCCTTCCTCTCCTCACTAGCTATGGCACTTTGAAAACAAACAAAATGTCTCATTTTTTATTTTTTTTTGTATTTTTTTCGTTTTATTGTTTCGTTTTGTTAGTCCTGTGTAAAAGAGGTTCTGCAGCCCAAGTACCTTTTAGGTTTCGGTTACAGATTGCTACATTTTGTTTTATTTGCTCTTGCTGGGACGCAAAGACATTCTAAACAATAAATTAACAATTTTCAACACTACTCCAATTGCACACATGTGTAATGCATCAAGATAGTTTACAAAGCATTGGTAGAGCAAACATCCTCTCACTCTCTTTTCTGTCTCACACACACACAAACAGCCACTTGCACTCACACAGGTTTTCTTAGGAAAGGGAGAAGGAGGTTTTGGAGTGTATTTGACTTAGTGTAAGAAATGCATTTCAAACCAAGTGTATTAAAAATGTCTGCGCAATTTGTCCAAGCCGCCGCAAAGAATGGCGACAACATTTATTGTGCGCTCTGTGATGTCATTCTGTGTTGATGGAGTGGTAAAGGCGCATGATGCGTTCAGCCCCTCACACTGAACAGGCTACTCCATAACATTCAGAATAGATTAACCCTCCCCACATCGTTCCCTCCCGCAGCAGGTTAAGGGTCTCTGATCCGGTTCAATAAGGCCAGTTCAGAAAGGGCCATTTGCTCACTGGTTGTACCAACTCACACATTCAAAGGTTGAGGGAAAAAAAAATCATTTCAAATCCAACAACAAATTTAAATTGTTTGTGTATAAATTAGAGCATTTTATTTAAAAATTATTTCAGCTTGTGAGAAAAAAAATTGCTTTGAACTGACTGAATTGATGTGGAATTTGCCCTAAACCCATTGCCCACCCTGCCAAAAACCTCTCCCACGAAACCCACATTATCATGAGAAGAGAAAACACAAATAAGCCCCAAATGTTTCATTGCAATGAAACGTCATGCAAATAGAACAGAACAACAATAGGCTAATAGTAATAGAAGAATAGTAGTCATAATAAGAACAATAATAATAGTAAATAGTAATAAAATAAAAAATAATCTTACAATGCAAACATGACAGTAGTAAATGCCTCCAGTTCTTATTGCTACAGTATCTTACTTACAGTGTTGCGTTGCCACTCGTTCCTGCCAGCACATCCCCCCTCGCAACCCCATCCCACCCCTCTGATTCACAGTCTAACAAGGGAAAATAAAAACATCACACACAAAAACTTCATATTCAGAGTTGGAATTCACTGTCCCACGGGGTTTTGTGATGGTGCTTGAATCACAGCTTACTAGTGGACTTCCCTCTCTGTCCCGAAAGCAGCAAAATAAGCAGTAAACATGAGCGTACAGTGGTGACAACGGCACACTGACAATAAAGTCTATACTTTTTTTGTTTTTCTTCTTGCGCTATGTAACAATGCTCGTCATATAGTCTGGGCTCTAAAGAGATTTGGACAGTGAATTCATGCTCCGTACACACGTGCACACAGACATACATCTATCAAAGCCTTGTCTGGGCAGATTCCGTTGCCGACATACGTTGGCGGCGTATGCCTTGTTTTTATTCTAAAAAGTTATTCTTTTATAATTAATTTTTTTGTAAATTTTGCAAAAATATTAAACCCTCTTTTAATGCAAAGTCAGAAAAAGAGCTGCTCCCTGAGAGATGCTGTGTAGTGCATCGAGCCTTAATGAGCAAGTGATTGTCTTTAAGAGTCACCGGCCTCTGATCTGTGGTCGGGTCAGGGGTTCAAGGAATGATGCTGGACTTTGGAGGAACCTGTAAATGATCACTGACACAGCATGGAACAGATGAATGTGAGCAGATTGCTGATGGTTAACATCGGTGCTTGCTGCAGAAGATTTTGTTTTCTGCGCTAAAAAAAAAAAAAAAAACCCATATGGACGGATAAAAATGATTAAGGACTCCAGTGTTGTTTGTGGTAATGAAGACATAATCAGTCTGACTGCACCTATGGGAAATCGGAGATTTGGCCACTGTGCAATGAACATTTGCAAACATCAGAAAACCTAACACAGGTCTCCATTTTTAGTGCTTCATAACACTAGATCAGAGTCCACTAATCATAGCATTTTAAGTAGAGGTAAAAGTGCTATCTTAGATTTAAAAACAAAAACAAAAACAAAACTTCGGAATAATTGCCGTTTTGTCTAACATGTGTTAGGTAACAAACTATAAAAGTACCAAGAATTCTGTGCGACTACTGTGTACAGGGCCACTTATTTTGATAAATGGCTTAGTTTAAAATGGAGCTTTTTAGCTGTGCTGAGATTTCTAAGAACTAATCATTGATCTCTTTGCAGAAGTAACGCATACAGAGCATCTAATGACTGTATGCAGAAACCCCTAGAGTCCATCAGTTATTTTTTAAAAATTGTTTCCTCACCAGGAACGTTGGAGCTAACAACATGCTGAGGTGATATAAGTGCCCAGTAAGACCAGTGTGATTCTACACAGTGGCCAAATACTATTTAACAAAACACAGAAAAAGCAACAAGTAAGTGCTAATAATTATGGAATGACAAAGTAAAGAAACAAAAAAAAAGGTGATTGTCTATCACAGCTTCCTTAAATTGTTAATGTAAATATTGCAGCTTTAAATAATGTTAAAGACGATAGGAGGCTATCTGCGTTCTTCACATCGTTCAACCAGTGCTGTTTTACGTCCTAAACCCAGACCACATTGTGTTAGACTGAAAACACTGCAGAGTCTGTGGTGGAATGAGTAGAGATGATTATTAGACATAATCAATGATCGAGAGTGAAATATAGTGCATTCTGGTTAAGACTGCTACCCTGTTCCGAACAGCTAAAAACAAGAAGAGGATTAAAGGAGAGGAGTAAGATCAGAAAGGCAGTGTAAAAGTTATTGCTCTTTAGAGAAAGGGTCCTACGTATTCACAGCCCGGAGTGATTGGCATCTACGGACTGGATTGTGCAAATAGTGATTGGAGGGATGAGGCCTCGTAGCACTCAGACAGGTCAGAGTTATTGGCGAGTTGTGAACTAGATTCAAGTTTGTTTTGACTTTGTTGTTTGTCTTGACTGTTGAATTACTTTAAAATATATATATATATATTTTATTTTTTTTTGGTGGACTTCTTCACTGTGATTTCTATTCACTTCTGTCTGTCAGAATTTCACATCAAGGTCCTGATACATAAGAGATAAAGGGCAGGGTAAAGGGAATTTGGGAAAAGGTGTGGGGCTCTTTGTGAGGTCCTGGTTTCTGATTAGTTGTTTCTGGTTGATTGTTTGAAAGCAGTCCAGCTTTTATTGGACAAAATTATTGCAGCGAGAAAAAAATGATTGATAGGATGGCAAATCTGCCAGATTTTTTTTTCTTGCAAAATAGAATATTTATGTATATATCTTCACCTTGAAAAGTAGTAGCCATTATTTTCTTTTTAAATCCTTCATATGCTCTCTTTACATTTCTATAAGTTCTGATCAGAAGGATGTAGTACCTTCTTTACATATGAACAAAATCCAGACAAGGCTTCTATATATCAACAAACCCAAATCGACTCCCGGTTTTTACCCAGTTTTCTTTTACAAGTCTCAACTTTACAAATTCTGTACACAAGAAACTATCAAATAAAATAAAAACACATAGACAAGGTATAGTCAGCCACAGTGGACTGCTGTATATTTAAATTAGGACTAACTTATTTTAACAGAACAAGAAGTAATACTGGAATCCGCTCTCCACTAGAAGAATATCTACAATAGCTTCTCTAAATCCACAGTTCCCTCCCCCATCCAGCTTCTTCAACTTCACAATGTCTTCATGTGAAAAAAAATTTAAACAAAAATGATTTTTTTTTTCAAAGTTAAATCAAATTAACTTACCCATTTTTTTTTTTTTTAAAGATCGACAGCTTAAAATTGTTCCTAGATGTTTTAAAGTCTGTACATTTCTGGTCAGTCAGTTCAGTTCAGGAGATAGGTGGAAGCCCCGCTCAGGTTGTGGCTTGGGGCGCGTTTCATTTATATATACATTCTTCAGACTGTATCGGTGAACGGGATGGGATAAGTGCTGGACATTCCTAGTATTGTTGGCGGTAACTCTAAGTTTCTAGCAGATGACTCCTCGCCCACCAGCCTGAAATGCGCCTGGGGGAGCTCGGAAATATGTGGTTGCCACGACGATGACATGGCCGACGTAGCCGCTGTCGCCATGTCAGATGTGGCTGTATTGTTTTCTTGGTCCTCTGCTGACGCCGTTTGTTGCATTTGGACCATAGGCAGTCACTTGGGCATCGCCATGGCAGAGTTTGGGTCGGGGTTGAAGAGTTCTTTGTAGAGCGGAGGGAAGAGGACGTTGACCGTTTCTGGGTGGAGTTGCTGGAAGGCCTGAAGCTCTTCGGTATGGAGCGTACACAGGGCTGACAGTGTTGGGATTCGGCTGATCAGCTGCCAGACAAGAGGAAGAGACGGTCAAAGACAAGGAAGCTGCATACAGGGACAAGGTCAGGTTTTTGTATAGCAGTTAAACTTCTTGTGTTTTCACATAGCTCCACCTGTAACTGAGGCCAGAGGTGCTGTTGCGCGTGTAAGATTTTGTATCTTTATTCTAAGGATTCACGTAATTCACTTGTCAGGGATTATGCTGATATGACTTATCTCACTACAAAGGCTTGGCCTACCTTCGCCAGTGCATCCTCATCCATGTGGTTCTTCTGCATAATGTGCTGCAGAGCAAAGTAGATCTTCTCCTGGAGCTTCTGGACCTTCCGAGGCTCCATCAGCCATGGTCGATCTGAGCAGTAAAAATGGTGATTTTACTGAGTGCTAGATGTGACTTTGACGCCACTGTACTTAATAGCTTGAATTGTGATTATGGTGTTAGATGCAAATAACTATCTTGTTTTCTACCTTCAATACAAGCACTAAAATCCACGCACACAGCGTCTGGTGTTGTAGTAATATTAGTGGATGTGCACTGACCTGTAGAAATTAGTACAGCTGCCGAGAACAGAGCGATCTCCTCCTCTGTCAGCTGCAGCGAACACAAACTCTTGGCAAAGTCAAACACTGCGCTCACTAAGTCATCACAACCTTGGAGGGAAACACAGGGAAGGGCAGACAAAAAAAGAGAATTTCATTCCACTTATTCTGGTCATGCATGTGCTGCTAAGTAAAAATACCTCATAGGGAAGAGGAGTTTTTTTTTCCCAGGATTTGCCTTTTCCCTTTTTTTCCTTTTTATTTCAATTGACCTTTTTCCTCATTCATACAGAATAAAATGAACAAGTTTCAATGTCTTACCTAGCGCTTTGAACATCTGCATGCCTCCGTACTTCCCTTCAAAGAGCACAGTGTTGTTGAGAGGGTTGAATGCTCTGCACATCCGCACCAAGACTACCTCCAAACAACCTGGAAGAGCCGTGGAGAGATGATTTTGAAGTTGATATACTGACAAAAAGGCAAAAAGAATAAGAAGCCACGGGACATTTCAGGGCTCAGAATGGGCCTTTGGGGGAATGATTACACATGACAGTGAGCAAGATCTGTCTGCATACAGTAAAGACAATGAATCTGTCTTACCTTATTTGATGGAAATCTATGCTTTTTCTTATTATTTCTGACCATTTGATGAACCAAAATAGACTTTATGCTTGAGTAAATTGAACCCCAATTAACAAAATTTAATTATTTGCTATTTTATTTCACAATTCTTATCATTTTGTTTTCTGACTAAAACCCTTATTGGGGAGCATCCAGAATTCCTCTTAGAGATGGGACTAGCCTAGCAGTGACAGTCCAGTCGACTCACCTGACTTGAGAAGGAGGATCTGGTCGTTCTGGCACAGTTCCATGAACCCTGAGATGCGCTTGGCGAACTCCACCACGTACTGGATTGCATGGGTGATCTGGATGGCACACTGCTGCCACAGCACGTCCCGGGGCTGCAACCACACAGAAGCAGTTTAGGGATAAATGTTCTGAACTGACGTAGGTATATTCGTGTCCGTAAATGAAGCTAAATTAAATGTTGTTACTGCTATGACTGACACTGCTGGGTGACTAGAGGTGTGTTTTGCTTCCACGTTAAAATTGTGAAAAACACAAGCTGAACTGAATTTGGATCTCCACTTGTGAAGAGTTTTTTTTTTCAAGTACAAGTTCATTTCCTGAGTGCCGATGAAAAATCGCTTCAAAGCATTGCACATGAAAGGCCATTAATGCAATGAGCACTGGTGTGTAAGGTACAGTGAAGTACATTATATCTTTAGTACAGTAGAGGTAGCTGAAAATTAAATGAGCTACACCAAAAAATAGAGGTACATGGGACACTAAATTTAAATGTCACATTTTGCACATGAGAATGATGTCACAACATAAAAGCTCACCTTGCTCTGGTACATTTTGACCTCTTCATAGGAATGTGTCTGCCAGGCGAGCTGCTGCAGCTCCTCTGTTGTGTACTGACATGTCTCCAAGTGGGACTTGATGATATTCTGAGCAATGCGGTCTGAAAGAGAGGATTAATGTTTGTTATTCATTTATCTTTTTCCATACATCAAGTTCAGGTTAGAATTTATTTATGCATCATACATGTACAGCAGTGTAAGATGTGTGTGTATGGGCAGGACAAGCAGGCTGCAGTTTGCTTAACAGATCCGTATATGAATTGTGCACATTATGCTGCAGGCACTATGATCCCTGTATGTTGAAAATGTAGAGAGAGAGACTTAAAGCAATTTTTCGATGCTATCCACTTACTACTTAATTTAGCATTCCCTTGAATTAGTGTGAAGGCTTAATTTGAACCAAATCTTAACTTGTGCTATCAGCCTGAGCTGTGCATGCAGTAATATGACACCTTGTCAGCTCGCTGTGTAAGCCTGTCTGATCTCCTGTTCTGCTCTCAGATTAGGACTCTGACTCACGCTCTCTTCCAGGACTACTTTGCGGGTAATCATTAATTTTCCACGTGGATGATTCATGTAGATTTTAAATGATGAATTGTTCTACTGTATCAATGGGATGAATGGTGCGACAAATGCGGTCTTTACCGAGCTCTCCCATGCTGACGTTATTGGGTCCCAGCTGACTGTCCTGGTAGCCTCCGTAGCTGAACAGGTTGGGTACTGGCGTCAGGTCATACACCGGCTCCTGCTTAATGTGCTTCATGCCCGACATGTCCAAACCTGACTGGTCTGGAGACGGCTGGGTGGAATCCATCCCGTAGTAGCCCCCCGGGACTCCTCCTCCGTTACCATGGCCACCTTTGGGTAGCTCAATGACGTGACCATTGGCATAGGTGCCTCCAATTTCATGGTTAAGGGTGGACAGTCCATTGGTTAGGCTGGATGAATAAACACGAGCCAGAGCTTCTGCTTCGCCCGTCTGCTGTTGCCGCTGCTCCTGCAGTCGTGCCTGGTGTTTCTGGACCTCTGCATACAGGCTGTCACGTTGCTTCTTGGACATGCGGCCAAACTTTACCGCTGTATGGGAGGAAAATACAATATTGGGTGACCAAATTAAAAAAATTAAAAAATATAGAAATAAAGAAAAAAAATTTCAGCTCCTTTAGAGTTTAAAAACTTAAAAATCCTTGCATGTGATTCTAAGAGCTTAAACTGTTTTCTGCATGTACTTTTGTGCTCACAATTAACCACAGATATAAATGTACTGGGGCCTCACCATCTCTGGACATTCCTAGGGCAAGACATTTCTGCAGGCGGCAGTGTTGGCAGCGGTTGCGGTTTGTTCTATCGATGAGGCAGTTCCTCTGGCGGGGGCAGGAGTATGAGGCATTATTCTGCTGACTCCGTCTGAAGAAACCCTGGTTGCATGTTGACAAAGAATACAGGCTTCAGGTAGCTGTAGAGCACAGGCCGGCCATGGTTCTGTGCACAATTTCTGAGCACAAATACAACTGAATTTGATGAAACTACAAACTAAGTCTCACCTTACATCCCTCACACGTAATGACTCCATAGTGGATCCCTGATGATTTGTCTCCGCAGATTTTGCATGGTATAACTTCGATTTGGGCTGTAACAAAATCAAGAGGACAAAAAGAGATGCTTGTTACAAATCACATTTTGGACATGGCACAGACGTTTTGCAAACGCCTCGCTTAGTCACTTCACAGATGTCAGACCTCAGCATGAGGTCTAATTTGAGGTTAAAAAACGGCACAACCTGGTTGGTTGTTGCACCTGATTGAGCTTACAATGTGTCAGCGTGCAGTATATGTGCGACTTCAACTTCAAATTCACAAGGGCACTGTGACATGTGGACATTCATTATGTCCTTGTAGGAGTTCTGGTAATGACTGGGACTCTGCGGACTGCATACATGCACACCAGAAATGCACACATCCACATAAATGACAAGACTGTGTGTGTGGATTCTTTGTGTTACGCTTGAAGGAGAGACCCCTGCAGGTTAGAAAGGTTCCCCTTGATGAGTTAACAGGTTATGTCACTGAAGGACCACACTTACTCTTCAGCTCTATCTTTTCTCTCTCTCTCTCTCTCTCTCTCTCTCTCTCTCTCTCCCTCACAGACACACACTGAGATCACCAACTCACATGCTATCAGTTTTTAACCTGAACTTTAAGTAATCTACAAGTGTACTAATTTAACTACTTTTTGTTTGCATTAGATTTTACTCACTGTGTATAGGCAGCTCCATGAACAGCCACAACCAAAGGCACAAAATATGTACAAAAGAAACTATTTCAACACACAGAAGCACCTGTCGTGGGTGTCTTTCAACGTATTATCCATAATGTATGGAAAGAGAAAGCTCCAGTCCCCGTTAAGAGATATGACATGGATGTAGAGGTAGGCAGGTATGCTGCTGAGATGGCACAGTCGCTATAAAGAGATTAGACAGCCTATCTAATCCTAAATTATTTCCCGACGAGCTGGTTCCCTCCTCTGCTGAACACTGGCTTAGCCCCAGCTGAAATAGCCATTCACATGTAATCTCCCTGCACAGTCCCACCTGTAGGAAATTCTGCACAATTTAGGAATTTAGTAATGCAGAAACGGATAAAGTCAACACACAGATCCATACGTTTACATCATTTTTAATCTAATTGATCCGCCTTAAGCACATTACAAAACTTGTTGCATTGCATTGTGTTTGTTCCTATATGCATGGTTAAGGGTGTCTAGACTATATAAATGCACATTCTGACATGTAGTTTTAGCTCGTTACTTTATGTACATTTGAGCGTTTGCACGTGCTTTGGTTTGATAGAATCAATTGGGTGTATGTGCTGCACGTGTATATTGCGCTTATGCGTGTGTGTGTGTATGCTAAACGTCTGTAGTGGAATGAGTGTGCAGTATATATAATTGGATAATCTCTTATCAGGATCAATGCAGACAGTTCTGTCTGTCTAGCAACTGAGCAGGTACAGACAATCACTGCTATCTATAAACTCTGCCTGCACTTCATGGAGTGTGACCACTTCATGATCAAAACTGTGTATTGGTCAGTGTTGCTTCTTAGTTGTTTGAGTTGCATTGTACAGAAGGATATAGGTTCAGGGGAGGAGCGACACCACAGACCAGCATTCACAATTACCGTGCTATATAAAAAATAAAAGTAATGATATTATATTAACAATGCACATGTAATAATATAAGAAATAGCAATGAATATTTTATCATGAATCATTTTGGCCACAATGATCATGTAGTGAAAATCTGATATTGTGACAGCCGTGTTCAGAGCCTGACTCTGGAAGACTGCTTTCCGAATTTCAAATCTATTTGTTGTTTCTCTGTGTTCACTTAAAATTTAGAGCTTAGGGTACTGATTTAGAAACTTAATACGAGACTGCACTGCAGGTAAATGTCATTTTAAGAATTTCTGACCAGGTAATTGCTACTTTTTGAAGTTGAAAATCCATAGGAGACAGAAATTCTTACTAAAAGCAGAGCATTTTCATATATCTTCAAACCTACCTCAATATACGCCGATATTCACAACTTGTCTGCCATTACCAGCTGATTCCTGTGACTAGTTTGCTAGTTTATACTGTGTTCTCTTTAAATCAACCTCAACCAGCCTTTGCAGATGCACCATTGACCATGATTTAAGAAAAGAGAGAATATAGAGATTATGATGGAACGGACCCATAAGACTCCAAAAATAGACTTGTTCTAATCATATTTAGTCATTTGTTTTCTACTCAGTAGTTTGACAAACTGCCCCCTGGTGGCTATTAAGAGGCATTTGATGTCTTCATATGAAAAGCTGGCATCCTGTGTGCTATGACCCTGGACTATGTGTTCTCCTTCATGGCAACTTCATGATGTGTTACTATACATATCCTCATGCTTGGTCATTCAAGATGTAAAAGGGCCTTTTATTTGTCTCTGAGTCAAATTAGGGTCCTCATGCAGTAGCTCTAACCTAACAATAGATCACTGTGTCTGTCGCAGTAGTTTGTCTGTGATTCACTGACCAAGAGGCAAATCAACGCACTCTCTGACTGAGTTCTTAAGGTGGAGCAGCTCACGCTCTGAGTCCTGGTGCGGTCCAAGATGTGACCCATTTCCACCAATTCTCGGCCAACTGGCTTCAAACTGGGTCAGAGCAGAGCGCTGGACTGGGACGACAAACAGACTACATACACAGAGCTGTCAATGAACGTGGCCTGTAACACGCTATTTATAGTCTGTAAAACAGGTCAGTTGCACCCGGGACATGACTGTTATCAACAGACCACATATGAGCAGAAAACAGAGGACAGGACAACAGTGCAGCAGTCGTGCTTTCTACCATCTTCACTCTTAGCGCTCACAATCCTCTCCCTCTTTGTACTTTCTACTCTTAGTTTCCTTACTTTTAGTCAAACTCTTTGATTAAAATGTTAATCATGAAACAAGTTAATCTCTGTGGGTTTAGACAATCTGAATGTGTTCAGCCCACACCTGCTGCTGTGTGACGTGGATATACATAGTTATTATTTCTGTAGATTTTTTTAGAGAAGGCTCTTTACATTTTTCCACTTTAGAGGAGCGTGTATTTATTGTTTCTGTGCAGCGATTATATTATATCTTCACTCTATGTCTTTTTACCCCATGGGAGATTGTAGTCGTCTTTGTAACACATAATTATGCCCAAAAGAGCATGGGCGTGTGGGCATGTGCATTGTTCCTTGTGTGTGTTTCAGGGAAGGTTTGCGGGAGCGCTTCTCTTATAAAAAACGACGCAGAGAAAGATAAAGTATGTGTGCATGTCTACGTGTGTCTGACAAAGTGTTTGTGAATATGTGTGTGTATATGTGTGGGTGTGTGCATTGTTGAGTTTGTGTGTGTGTGTGTGTGTGTGTTGTGCTCATTGCCAGTGGGGACTGTCAGGTAGGATATAGGGAGACGGTCATGACAGCATTGCTGTTGCCAGGGTGACCACCCACTCGCTTCACTCGTCTGGCTGTCACAGCAATGATGTGCTAAGCTGTCACACTCCTAAAGGAAGTGATGTCATCGGTGTGGGGAGCCAACTCGGCGTATCATCAGTGTTCGTCCTGTCGCCCTCTCTCAGCAGCGGAGGCTTTGTGATTTGTTTACCAAAGGACTCCCACTTCCACATCCAGTCAACAATACATGCTTGCTGCCTTGCTGCACTCTAGCTGCAGCGGTGGATTGAAACAGAATTAAGATGTGTTTATCTGTTGGGTGTTTACAAGAAGCTGCGTTCTTATTGTTTTCAAATCTAGGATGTGTGATACAGCATTTGGGTTGTTTGATTTCATGGTTACAGGAGCAAACTTGCAGTTTCAGATCTGTAGTAGAAGTGATTTTCTAAAACAGAGTAAAGAAAAGCAGCTACTCGTACCAACTCTCTTGACAGAGATCTATTTCTAAACGAAGCCTGAGTAAGAAAACTCATTTCTGTTTTCAAGCACTGCTTTGCTCCTGACTACATGTCTTTCAGGGGTGGGTGGGACTTCTTTCCAACTTGTGTTGACCCAGCCGGAGCTGGAGTGACTGACAGCGTCCTCAGCCAGCGGGAGCACGAGTGTTATCCTGAGGTTATTATGTAAGAGCGGGACTGCAACGCTGGCGATTCCTCAGCTAAGAGGAGGATCAGGCCTGCACAATCTCTTGAGAGAGAAAAAGATAGAGAGAACTAACTAGAGTTGAATTTCACAAAGAACAAGGCAAAGATAGTTGCTGGAGTGTGAGAGTTGCACCCATGCACGAGTGTGTGTGTGTGAGTGTGTGTGTGTGTGTAGCTGATTGTGGCCATGAGGGCTGTGTTGCACTGGCACGTGTGTTGTGATAATTGATTTTTAATGAAGTGAGGATCTCCTGTGTATTTCCTGGGCTGGCCCTTTCTCTAAATAGAGTCCTAATTATCTACATTGCACTGCTGAAAAAAAAGCAGCAGCCTTGCACCAATATCTTAGCAATACTTTGTAAAGCACATAAGTAGCTCACAGACATGGTGGCTGAGAGTTGAGCGCGCACGTATGCACTCAGAATACACTGGCTATTTACTGACAGGGCAGTTCTTCCCGTCTATACTGACAATGTAACAGCAAATTAAGGCCACTAGGTGCTGCTATACATGTTTAGTCTGTGTGTGTGTGTGTGTGTGTGTGTCTGTGTGTGTGTGCTTCCAAAGGGGCAGACTGGACATGCATGTTTCATTCATTCAGCCCGCGGCTTGGGTCTACAGCAGAAACATATGCAAAGCAACACACAGTATCTCACAGTAACAATCACTGAGTATACACTAGAGGTTGGTGCCGTAGTATTGCAGTTTATAGAACAGTTGAAATCACTTTCTACCATAACTTTTGCCAGTGTAAGCCACTTCAGAAATGCAAACACGACTCCTACTGTAGTCCCAGGGGTTGATTTGTTGGGGATGAATGTGGGTGGTATCTCTACTTCATTAAAAAATATGCATAGCTTCTTCCCAGTTAACTAGATATCTTCTGGGAAAATGAAGGAGATCAGCACTTTACCCCCCACCACTCCTTGTTAAATCTGTACAACTCCGGCGCTGGTCTTAGATGT